CCTTCCTTTCAACCCTGGTGAATCTGACAATTATGTGCCTTGGTGTTGCTCTTCTTGAGGAATATCTTTGTGGTGTTCTCTGTATTTCCTGGACTTGAATATTGGCCTGCCTTGCTAGGTTGGGAAGTTCTCCTGGATAATATCCTGAAGAGGGTTTTCCAGCTAGGATTCATTCTCTCCATCACATTCGGGTACAACTCTCAAATGTAGATGAGGTCTTTTCACATAATCCCGTATTTCTTGGAGGCTTTGTTCATTTCTTTTCACTCTTTTTTCTCTAATCTTGCTTTGTTGTTTTATTTCATTGAGTTGATCTTCAATCTCTGATATCCTTTGTTCTGCTTGGTCGATTTGGCTATTGAAATTGTGTATGCTTTGCGAAGTTCTTGTGTTGTGTTTTTCACCTCCATCAGTTCATTTATATTCTTCTCTAAGCTATTTCTTCTCATTAGCATTTCCTCAAACCTGTTTTCAAGTTTCTTAGTTTGTTTGTATTGGGTTACCCCATGTTCTTTTAGCTCAGAGAAATTTGTTATACCCACCTTCTAAAGCCTATTTCTGTCAATTCATCAGACTCCTTCTCCATCCAGCCTTGTTCCCTTGATGGTAAGGATGTGTGATCCCTTGGAGGAGGAGAGGCGTTCTGGTTTTGGGTGTTTCCATCCTTTTTGCTCTGGTTTCTTCCCATCTTTGTGGATTTATCTACCTGTGGTCTTTGTAGTTGGTGGCTTTCAGATGGGGTCTCTGAGCAGATGCCCTTTTTGTGGATGATAAAGTTTTTTTTTTTTTAGTTTTCCTTCTTACAGACCCCTCTGCTGTAGGAACTGCTGGAGGTCCCTTCCAGACCCGGCTTGCCTGGGGATCATCTGCAGTGGCTGCAGAACATAAGGGTTGCTGCCTGTTTCTTCTTCTGTTATCTTTGTCCCTGAAGGATACCCACCAAATGTCAGTCTGAGCTCTCCTTTATGAGGTGACTCTTTGGATATACAGGGATCGGGGAGTTGCTTGAGGAGATAGTCTGTCCCTTATAGGAGATCAAGTGCTGAGCTGTGAGCTCCATTGTTCCATTCAGAGCTGCCAGGCAGGTATGTTTAAGTCTTCTACAGCGTAACTCATGACCGCTTTTTTTCCCCAGGTGCTCTGTCCTGTGATGGTGGGGCTTCATTTTTAAGTTCCTGATGTGCTGCTGCCTTTTTTCAGAGGTGCCCTGCCAAGCGAGGAGGTAGCCTAGTCACAGTCTGCCAGCAGAGGGATTGCTGAGGTGCTTTGAGGTCTGCCCAGCTGCTGTGTGAACTTCCTTGTGATTTTGTTTATAGAGGTATAGTTAGAAATGCCTGAATAATGGCAGTCTGCCTCAGAAATGGTGGATTGTCTCTGTAAAGGTGGACTGCCTCGGTAGTGGCAGACTGCCTCAGTAGTGGTGGACTGCCTCAGTAATGGCAGACACCCTTCTTCCCACAGAGGTGGACCATCCCAGGTCCTGCTGTGTTTGCTGTGAAACTCTCAGTCCTGAGTGTTTCAGATTGCTGGTCTTTGTGTGAGTGGGACCTGCTGAGCCAGATCACCTGGTTCCCTGTTTCAGCCCCCTTTCTTTCAGTTGAATGGGTGACTCTGTCTCCCAGGTTTTCCAGGCGCCAGTTGAAATGGCCACCCAGGTTTGTATGAATTTTTGTATGGAGACCTTCTGTGCCACTTGAAACGGCCATTCTGGAGACTTATGGTACTTTACCACCCAGCAATATTCTGGTCTGTGGGCAGTAAAAATTCTTTTGAAAATGCTGTGATTACTCACCCTCTGTTCTTGCTGGGAACTGCACTCCAGAGCTGTTCTTATTCAGCCATCTTCAGTCATTGAAATTCCATTTTTAATTTTTTTTCTTGGTATTTTCTAATCCACAGTCGGCTGAATCCAAGGGTATAGAACCTGTGGATACAGAGGGCCACCTGTCTCCCATGTAGGGCTGCATTCATGCTACCATGGCAGAGGGGAGTAGTTAAAACAGAGACTGATGGGCTACAAAGTCTAAAATACTTACTATCTTGCCCTTGACAGAAAAAGTTTGCCGATCTATATTCTAAACTTGACCCAATCCATCTGAACTCTGGAGCATCCATCATTTCATAAAGTTAACGCCATATTGAGGCAAGGGGCTGGCCTTTGTACTTCAGTGTCAGCAGGACATTGGTTGATGACCACCTGAGGAGGTGCGTGAAACATATTAACCCCTGGCCATGGCTCCCATCAGCCAAGGGCAATTCGCTGGGTATTGAAGGCAGCTGTGAGCTATTAGCAGCCAACATTTGCAGCAACTGGAAAATGGGTACACATGCTTGATCCTTCAAGGTATGGCCAGCATCCACTGCAGTGCATACCTGGATCAACACATGTGTTTTATGAAGCCAGGGGAACCCGTACTTTCCACCTGAAACTGAGCCATCATTATCTCACAATGATGGAATGGATAGATGGGAGGCGACAACCAAATAGGAATGGAATCTCCCGTTTGGTTCTTGCCTCCCATCTATCCATCCCATTGCTCTAAGGATGAAGATATGGGGATCCTTACCAGTGTTCACCGAGTCCCACTAGCCTCCCCAGCCCCACCTTATTCCACTTTCCTCACTCTGTATCCTCTAGCTGTGCATGACGAGAGCTCAGTGGGCAATTCCTTCTGTTGCAAAGCATGTCGGGTTACACCCAGCTTCAGGGCCTTTGCTCATGCTGTTTCCTCTGCCTGAAATACCCTCCCTCATACCTTCTACCTTCCACCACACTGCAGTACAGGTATTGATCGACTTACGACCTATGCAACTTACGACCATTCGACTTTACGACCACAATCGCTAGCCACAACTGCTCCGTGTCTGGCAGTGCAAACGTTGCCCAGCTGGGCCTACGACAGTGCGGACCAGCTTCCAGCAGCACTACCATCTCCGCATGCACCATTTCAACTGTTATCTCAGACTTGGTACAGCAATTTGTGTTTTGTGTCTTGGATATTTTTCATCAAACCCCTCCCAATAAACTTCTTATACATTTCGAAGCAACGGACCCAAACATCAAATGATTTGCAAGGATTGAACGGATGGCGCACAATGTGTTTCGTCCGTATCGTGAAATTTATGAAGGAAAAAAAGAAACATACAATTCAGACAAAGCTCACCATGTTTATGAAAAAACCAACTCCGGTAACCCCAACTGCTGCCTCAGATGACGACATCAACGTTCTGCAGCCAAGCACCAGCGGCCAATAAAATGTTTCGTACATGTTTATATATTTTGATATGTTTTGCAATTGGGAAAATGTTTCCTATGGTATTTTTTACACCTGTATTTTGTATTTTTGTATGCACCTGTATTTTGTAATTTTGTATGCTTTGCAAATATTAAACCAGTTGTACTGGTAATGCAGTGTTTTACTTAAACCTGACAAATGTAAAAATAAGAAACAAAATGGTGTAGAGATGATACAAATGGCATAAAATGAACAAAGAAAATTATGATATATAACAATAATAAAAGAAAATTATGATAAAATATGACTTAAAGATTTTTATAACATCATTTCACGGTACTGTACGTATAGCCTACTCAACTATGACCAAATTGTGTTACGACCGGTCTGTCGGAACCAATCGTGGTCGTAAGTCGAGCACTGGCTGTATTATAACAACCCTCCTTCCTGTAGATCTCAGCTCAGAAAAACCTCGTATCAGAAAAACCTTCTTGAATCTAATTTCCTCTCAAGTAGCCAATAATTAGTTTGTCTTTACATATGTTTCTGTCTTGTGCAAACCTGTAGCTTGTAAAAACACACCCATAGAGTTTTTTATTTAACAACAAATGCTATACTATTTGCTTTCCTTTAAAGCTTGCTTTTCTCCGTTTAACAATATAAACCATAAGAAACTATCCAATTTTTCATTCTTTTTTTAGCACCTGAATGACATTCCATCTTATGTGTACATATGTACATCATATGTATTATAATCATTTAAGAACTCCCAGCCAGGCGCTGTGGCTCACACCTGTAATCCCAGCACTTTGGGAGGCCAAGGCGGGTGGATCATGAGGTCACGAGTTCAAGACCACCCTGGCCCATATGCTGAAATTTCGTTTCTACTAAAAATACAAAAATTAGCCAGGTGTGGTGGTGCACACCTGTAGTCCCAGCTAAGTGGGATGCTGAGGCAGAAGAATCACTTGAACCCAGGGTGTGGAGGCTGCTGTCAGCCGAGATCACACCACTGCACTACAGCCTGGGTGACAGAGCAAGATTCCATCTCAAAAAAAAAAAAAAACAACCCATATTGATAGGAGTTCAGATTGTTTCTGCCTGTGTGTGTATGTTTTCATTTTATAAATAATGGTGCAAAAACATCTCTCAACAAATATCCTTACATTCTGATGCTTTTATTTCTGTTGGCTCAATTGCTAGAGGTGGTATCGTTCAGTCAACATATACATGCACTTCATGCACTTAACATTTCAATAGTCAGTGTTAGATTTCCTTCTGCAAATGTAGCAAACTGCATGGCCAGCAGCAGCTCTAGGAGGCTTTCCTGTGCTCGGCTTCTCTGCCAGTACTCACGTCTTTCAATCCTTTTAACGTCTGCCAGTCTCTTGGCAAAGGAATGGCTTCTCATTGTTCTGACTTGCATTTCTTTGATCGTTACTGAGGTTGGGCATCTTTTTATACAAATATTACTTCAATAACAAAAATAACCCCTCTACTCATAGGACCTTCACATGTTAATTTAACATGTTTTGAGCATATCCGTTGAGATGATGTCAGAAAAACACCCACCTGTCCTCATTTGCTCTCCAGTTAAGATTAGGAACTCACTTGTGTCCCATGTATCTGTGAACCCTCTACTGTTTTGTGACTTGCATCCCTAAAGGGTGGGAGAGTTTTGGTCTCCAGGGATATGGTGACGGGAGGGAAGGTAGACAGTTATGCCCTATCTGTGACCTTCTCCTTCTGTCTCTTCACTTCCAGACACCACCCAGATGAACAACGCAGTGCCCACCTCTCCTCTCCTCCAGCAGATGGGCCATCCACATTCGTACCCGAACCTGGGCCAGATCTCCAACCCCTATGAACAACAGCCGCCAGGGAAAGAGCTCAACAAGTATGCCTCCTTAAAGGCAGTAGGTAAGGGCCTCCTGATGGATCTTTTTTCCTTTCTCCTCTTTCCTGTCCTTTGTAGCTTCTTGTAGAAGCTTCTTATACTATTGCTGGATAGTATAAGTGAATAGGGGTATGGATAGATAGATGATCGGATAATTCTACCTACCTACCTATTTATTATCAATCTGTCATCCATCCATCTTTCTTTCCATTCATCTGCCTATCCACTTATCTACCAATCTATTATCGATCATCAATCTTACATCTACCTACTACCTATCCATCTATCATCAATCATATATCTACCTATTACCTATCTATTGTCATTTATCTACCTACCTATTATCTATCTGTCTGTCTGTCTATCTATCTAATCTTCTGGTTCTCTCTACCTGGGACCCAGCTTTCTAAGGACCAGAGCCCCTCAGCTGCTTTCTCTCACACAGAACAAGTCCTACATTGCTGTGTGAGGCAGGGTGTCTGGGTGAGGGGCACATATGCGGTGAGGGCTATTTTCTGGGGAGAAGGACCTGGTTGCTCATTTCTTCTCACTGACATTTTAACCCCTTTAGCATCTTCATCTACCCTCGTTGATCCTCAGGGAATCTTGACACAGAATCTAGGTCTTTCCGTCTCAGAAATGCCTTACCCTTTAGTGGGTAACACCCTTCATCTACACAGTCCATACCATTTCTAAGAAGTTGGTAAACAATGCGCATTCCTGTCCCAGGCAACTTCTCTCCAGGATTTAAATATTTACTAGGGTGGGCATCCTGAAGCTACTACTAATTGAGTTCTTATCAAGTGCAGGACATCGAATTAAACCCTTGTTTTCTCATAGTGATCCAAAGGTGAAGTCGCAATGATTATTCCAATTGCCAGATTGGAAAACTGAGACTCTAAGAGGCTAATATAACTTGCCCAAGTCAAGCAGCAGTGGGTGAGAGAGATGAGAATTGAATCCTGTTTTTATCACTCCACAGCCACTGCTCCCACCACTGCCCTGGTTCCTTCAGTTCATTCTTCAATTTAAACATGCGGGGGTGTGATAGTAACCCTAACAGTGACTAAGGCTCTTGAACAGTTTGCTCATAAAAGGGTTCTATTGGATAGAAGCAACAGCCGCAGAAAGCGGTTCCTGACTCCTGATTGGCTGTGGCAACCTCAGGGTGTCCTAAATCAATGGTTCTCACATGTGGATGACAATTACTAGAATCACCTGGAGAGCAGGTACAACGCACTGATGCCCACCCTAGAGATTTTAATTGAACTGGTTGACCAACTATGTTGGTCAGGCTGGACTCAAACTCCTGACCTCAAATCATCCATCCGCCTTGGCCTCCCAAAGTGCTGAGATTATAGGCATGGGCCACCACACCTGGCCAGAAAGGTCTTCTTTAAACATTCTCCTTTTCCTACACCAAGTCCTCACTTTCCCAGCAGAATTGACTGTCAGAAGCTCCAAAGCATTAGAACAATTCACTCTGAGTGGAATCCTGTTGTATGGGTAGAGGTCCTTCTGCTCTTCAGTTATTCATAAAATTTGTTTATCTATTCCCACATACTGTTGGTTCCTGGAAAACTCTGGACAGGTAGAAAACCCCACAAATCATGTACTTTCTTTTATTAACTGTTCATCCTCTTCCCTCTCCCCCCAAACACAATGCCAGTTCCCTCACTAGAGATAGGATGGGAGATACTTGCTGATTGATTTCAGTATGAAATATGCTAATCCTGTTTTAAACTAATACCAGAACCCAAAGCACAGACACAACCATGTGTCTATGATGCCTGTGATAACTTATGATCAACACACATCAGAATCACAAAACAAGCATTTTGGTGCCTAGCATAGGGCCAGGCACATACTAGGTACTTAGCAAGTGTTTACACCAGAAGCCTCTCTTTGGGAATTCATGTTCCCTGATATCTTAGGATTTCCAGATGGAATCATTCAAAGAGTGACTGTGCCAGATTTATAATACCAAGGACACGGGATGTTCAGACTGACACAGGCTTTTCTAAATCTAAAGCCTTGTAAGACCCTACATACTGGTTACCCATGTCCAACGTTGAATTTCTATGCCCAGCTCAAGCCTCATTATGTCCCACGACCACAGATTTCATCTCTTCCATAGTGCCTGTTTGCACAGCATATGCATCCTAAGCACATTCAAATATACTCAGTATTACTAGGAAGGGATGAGGGGTGTTACCTAGGTGAGCAAGAGTCAAGGCATCTTTGCCAATGTAACTGTGAAAGCCTTCATGTGCTATTTGGTGGCACACTTCTCCTTCTGACCCTTGCAGTTAGATAATAAATAGCATATGCCATTATATTTAATTCTTCTTTAGGCATTTAAAAAATCAGTCAGGCCAGGAGTTGAAAACCAGCCTGTCCAATATGCCGAAACCCTCTCTCTAGTCAAAACACAAAAATTAGCCAGGTGCGGTGGCAGGCCCCTGTAATCCCAGCTACTTGGGAGGCTGAGGCATGAGAATCACTTCAACATGGGAATCACTTTAAATGTTAATATTTTAAATATTAACGATTTCAGTGCCTGGATGGAAAAATATCAACATTAGGCCGGAGACAATGTGGTCCCTGTTTGGAATCCAGCTGGCAGCTACAAGCACTGTTAAAAACTCTGACAGGCTCTGTGTTCTTCTTTATTAAATGGCCTCACATCCTGAACGCAGGAATGCATTCATTTAAATAAACATTAATCTTTAATGTTGAATTCCGAAAACACAAACACAAATCATAGTTGGTTGTTCTGTGACAATGATCTAGTACATTATTTCCTCCACATTAAACCTACCTGGGAGGTAGAGGTTGCAGTGAGCTGAAATGATGCCACTGCACTCCAGCCTGACACCCAGTCGGTGTCTAAGAAAATAGCAGAGGGATATTCCAGCAGAGCTCCTTGATTTTCTCCAAGATTTATGTGGGGTTCCTCTATGTAGCAAATGTCTGCAGTGCACTTGGGATTAAGTTTTCAGTGTGAAAATCATTTCACGCTCTTTGAGTAACCCTCTGTTCATAACTCAGGAACTCCTGAAATGTTTGTTGAATGAATGAATGAATGATCTTGTCGTTGACAAGAATAAAAAAAAGAATAGCTTGGTTGTAAGGAAGCACCCTTATAACTCCTAGAAAACTCTGAAGGATACCACATTGGGCACCTTTCCCAGTCCTAGATGTGGTTGATATACTCCTACTGTTCTTCTTTTTTTTTTTTTCTGACCATTGTGAGAGTTCTTAGGGCTTTCTCTGAGACACAGATGGTCTTGTGAATCTGGAGGGCCAATGCAGAGCAGACCGAGGGAATGCTTGAACCATGGGTTAGCCAGGAATCCAGCATCTGCCTGCGCAAAAAAAAAAAAAAAAAAAGAAAAAAAAAAGAAAATCCCATAATAAATATTCTTTTAAGAGTTCTTTATTAAAGTATAATGTGATCATGGTGTGAATGATGAAAGGCATTAATGAAATCATTATCACCCAGGAGAGAAGTTGTTTAAAAAATGGTTCGCTGTTGAAAGTTCTGCAACCCCTGATAACCAGATTCATTCTCTAAATATTTCAGTCCAGAGAATAAGCAGAGGTTAGACAATCTTTAGGGTTAACTGCTAAGTTCAAAAATACTTCTGGACAATAAATGTCTCTGGGAAGCTTTAACATTCAAAGCTCTTTAAAGATTATCAGAGGCTCTGTCTCACTCAGACTCTAACCACACTTAGCTGTATGACTTTGAGCAGGTTACTGAGGCTCTTGGACTTCAGCTTCTTCATATGAAAAATGAGAAAACTCAACTATAAGATGTCCAAACTCCATTTTAATTATAAAATTAGAAAAATAATTCTCGTTCTAGTTATTAGAATACCTTAAACATGTCCCATTCATTCCCTGCCAACTCTGGGGGAAAAAGGTTTGAATAAAGGGTGATAATGTTGGTTTTTACTGAGACAAATTCTCCCCAAACCTGCCTTTCTTTTTATTGTATTTTATTTTTGTTTGCTTGTCGGGATCACCCTCATGTTTAAAGAGACCTCTTTTCTTTTTACAATTGAGAGATTTGGACATGCACCATCTAGTCATACACGGCATGTTAAGTACAGAATGGTTTTCGTTCCCAAGGGGTTCACTGCCTAGCTCTTGGTAAAATATTAGCACACACTAGGAAAGTATCAGGGGCTAAGCCATGTAGGACTTTGTACAAGAAGGGATGATGACTCTGAATTATTTCTTCAGTTCATTCATTCATTCTCCAAACATTAAGTCTGGTTTCCCTTGACTGCAGGTCCCATTGAGGCATGAACCAAGTCTATCCATTTGTCAATGTATCTCTAGTGCCTAGTGCTATGTAGGGTGCTTAGAAAGGACTCCCAACACTTATTTGTAAAACTAGTAAATAACACCATATGATAAGCACCTCATATAGCCTGAGAGGGGCCTGAGAGAATAAGCAGGATAGCAGAGTATAGCATGGCCTCTGGAATTGGTCAGGGCTGAGTTTAAAACCTAGCTTGGGCCGGACACAGTGGACTGGGCATGGTGGCTCATGCCTGTAAACCCAGCACTTTGGGAGGTGGATCACTTGAGTTCAGGAGTTGGAGACCAGCCTGGCCAACATGGTGAAACCCCATCTCTACTAAAAATAAAAAAATTAGCTGGGCCTGGTGGTGTGTGCCTGTAATCCCAGCTACTCGGGAGGCTAAGGCAGAAGAATCGCTTGAACCCTGGAAGTGGAGGTTGCAGTGAGCCGAGATCGTGCCACTGTACTGCAGCTGGGCGAGAGAGTGAGACTGCGTCTCAAAAGAAAAAACAAACAACAACAAAAAAATCAAGGCCTAGTCTGGACATTTAACAAGTAATTGCAGAAATTATTTAACTCCCTAAGGTCTCAGTTTCCCCTTCTGTAAAATGGAGATAATAATGACAATATACAGACAATGGCTTTGAAAACTTGTCGATATAGTGCAGGTAAAGTTCTCACCCTGACACATAGTCCTCAGGAAATACTGCAGCATATTAAAGCCCAAGACTGGAGTTATCTGCAGTTGTAATTTTCCCCTGATCTCTGAGATACTCTGGTACCTGGATTAACGTGAAATTGTCCACGTTTCATTGTGAGGGAGAAAGAGTTGGTTCCATAGTTTTTACTCCGGTCTGATGGAAAAGACATACACGAATGTTAACTCATGTCGGGATCTGATAAAACAAGCAGGCAAGCGAGCAAGCAAATGGCTTTTCTAAGCTGTCCCAAGGACACTCAAATAATCAATCGCGGCCTCTTCCAGTTCCCCAACTACACGGTGGACGATAAAAGTCGATGCTCACACATAGAGATACTGTCATACAATCCATCAGATAAACATTCTGTTTCAATACAATCCTTCAGAGAAATAGTCTGTCTCACTCAATTGACTCTCCTTACTAAAGCAAAAATGTGGATTTAAACATTTCTCACCAATGTCGAGGTTGAGAAACGTGTCTTATTATAGACTGAGCCAAAAACGTAACGTGAAAACCCAGTTAAGCATACAAGTTCCCTGGCCTGTGGTGCCCATATAGTTACAGCATGGGAGCCTTGTGGTTCTTCATAGGTCAAAGTTTGGAAGGCCGATGTGTTCGTTGAAATATCCCTAAAGCTCACCTGGTGGTTCAGAGAGGGATGATTGGTAGCTCCAGAACTGGAAAAGATCACCCTTTCACCCTTCTGTGTAATTCCTGATGGGCTTTGCAGACAGAAAATTGCCTGCACATTTACATTTATCTTTCATTAGCCCCTTGTCTAGTGTTTCTTCTAGGTTTGTGATTATTGAACTCCTAGGTGGCCTAAGATTCCTCATCATGTGCCCTTAAGATGGCTCAGTGCAACCTTGGCCACTGAGTGTAAGAAACACACAGGATGTACCACCATCATTGATACAATGCTGTGTGCCTTCATTTCTAATTCAAAATTTTAATTTTATTTTAAAAATATTTTCTGTGTTGCTATTTGACAGATGATTGACTATTTTGCCAGAATCACGATGTGTTTTCCAATAGCACTTTTTCAAACAGCAGCAGCAATGCACTTCAATATGGCAGGAATTCCCTCTTTACTCTTGAAATCATGACTGAAAACCCTAAGAGTCATACATGAGGCTCTTGGCCATGGATTGGCCTCTACGAGTTTAATTTTTTTTTTTTTTTTAAGTTAGGGCAGAAAGGGGGCTAACATCACTGAACTCGGGACCACCACACCTCTGAGGGAGGTATTAGTCCCACCATTTTGCAGCTGGGGAAACAAGCTTAGCATAGTTAAGTAATTTTCTCATAATCCATACTTTTAGTAAATGGCAGAGCCAAGACTCATATTCAAGAGTGCCTGACTTGGAATCCTATGTTCTTTCCATGAATCTATGCTGTCTTCTGCAGACAAATTTCTGGCATCTAAAGTATGTAACCAGGCAAAAAAAAAAAAAAGTTGGGGAAGCCTATCCCCTGCTCTTCTAGAGGAAGGAGAGCTTACCATGGTATTCATCATTTTTCTTTGTTTGAAAGTAAAAGTTTGGCTGAACACAGTGGCTCTCACCTGTAATCCCAGCACTTTGGGAGGCCGAAGAGGGCGCATCACTTGAGATCAGTTCAGTACCAGCCTGGCCAACATGGTGAAACCCCATTTCTACTAAAAATACAAAAATTGGCCAGGTGTGGTGGTGCTTGCCTGTCATCTCAGCTATTGAGGAAGCTGAGGCAGGGGAATCACTTGAATGCAGCGGGTGGGGAAGTAGAATTTGTAGTGAGCCAAGATTGCGCAACTGTACTCCAGCCTGGACAACAGAGTGAGACTCTGTCTCAAAAAAAAAAAAAAAAAAAAAAAAGGAAAAAGTGAAATTTTCCCTATGATGCTGAATATAATTGAAGTATAGCATGTTTGAGGTATGCTATAGTGGAAGTACATTTTACATACAGGGAAATACACAGTTAATAATTTTAGAGTAGTGTGCTTGTTAAAAAAAAAAAAATACACTTGGCTAACCTCATCCCAGTAAAAATGATAACTTTTTGTCACACTGAAAGTTCCCTCATACCTCCTTCCTTTTAATACCTTAGGTCTGTCTCTTCTTAATGAGCATTTGTTGCCCTTGAAGCATTTTTCTAATGTTCATGAGTGCAATCAAGTGCACCGTGGAGCCTTACCTACATGTTCTGTAGCCTACACACCATCTTATTAAATGCCCTATTGTCAACGAACTTATAAACGAAAATTCATTGTTGTAAGAGCTAAGCCCTCTCTGAGGTAATGGGGACAGAGGTGAGAAAGAATGGTTCCTGCCTTCAAGGCAAACAGCGATGGATTTGATTTGGGGTTGAGATGGCTTCCCTGGAGTCAGCAACTTAGTGGCTCTGTCAGCCTGTGGCCATCCACACAGGAAGAACTGGGTTTGCATTACTATTTCCAGATGACCTTGAGTCCGGGGGAGTAAAGAATCGAGTCATCCTGGGCGGGGCCCCACCCAGTTTTAACTTCCTCACTCCTCTGTGGCTCCAATTGTCTCTCTTGTGAGTGATGAGGAGTGTACAGCTCAGATCCACATGGGGGATGTGGCAATTTGAGCATCCTTTGGCATGTCCGGGAGGCCAACTGGAAGTGTTCAAATGGGGCCGGATCTGTGCTCTGTAATCTTTCAGATGACAGACTGTTCCCTTTGCCTTCACCCAGCCTGATATCTCTCTGGAAATGGTGCGAAACTTGAGGACCTGGGTCTTTCCAGGTAGATGCCTAAGAAAGAGCTAGTGGCACAAGCTGATTGGTCAGGCCTGCAGCCAATGAGGAGAGTCCCCATGGATAGGTTTGCCCCACTTTAAATAAAACCCAATGTTACAGAAAAGAACTATCAAAAAGTGTGAAGTTGTGGGGGTTGGGGATGGGTCAAACCTTAACCCATTCTCGCTATCCTTTATTTTATGAAAGGAGTCACTATGGAATTCTCTTAATAATGTTAGATCCCCCAGGGCTCATTCGGGACATCTGAAAGGGAATTCAATTTGGATAAACTGATTTATAATGAAAATTTCAGGCACACATCTGTTCTGTAAAGCAATGTATTACTCATTATGGGATTCTCAGATCACAAGCTTGATCTCGTTACTATTTAGGAGAATTTCCCTACCTTAGAAAGGGTGAGTCTCTGGATAAAATTGAATGCATTCCTTCATTCAGTAATATTTTCCTAACACAGACTGTGTGTTAGGTAATGTGGTGAGGTAGCCCCACCCCACAGAGCCTGCCACCCAGCATTTAAAGTCGCAGTCAGCAGAGCCTGTCCCATCCTTGAATCTGGGGCCAATAATATGCCCCTTTTCAGGAGGGGCATTGCAGTAGAACACAATCAAAATCCATCCTTTGTCATCAGAGTGTAGTCTTGAGCCAAGGTGAACTCATATAACGCAAATTCTTTCTTTCTTTCTAAGCAGGTTGAAATTTAGAGCCAGATTTTCTACGTAAGAATTCTCTTTGTGCCTTACATAACGGAAAATATCTAGGCCTTTTTCAGGAGGCTTCTTTTGATGTTCTGTTGGGTGTTAACACGATGCTGCTTCAAGGCGTTGCAGAAAGAGGTGCAGACATAGCTGCGTTTTCTCATGTGGCTCCCTTCCCTGTTTCCTGGGTCTCCTGAGGCCTCCCCCTGCTTGGAGGCTGCAGCAGGGGCAGCCACCAGCACCTGGGCGTGAGGGCACACTGAACATATGTGCCCTGCAAACAGATCATCAGCATTTCTTGATTGTTATTTTTTTAGGAAGTTCTGATGGTGACTGGGCAGTATCGACACTTAAGTCACCAAAAGGTACTGTATGGCTTTTTCTAGCTCTTTTGTCCAGGTGTTGTCAAATTTGGCATTAAATAATGAAGGGATGGAGAGTCCTGGTGTCTGTGTGACCTGTACACACGTGTGTCTGCATAGGGTGGCATCCGCAAGTCTGTCTAAGTTCTAGTGTGTAGGTGTTTGTGTATGTGTGTACATCTAGCAATTGTTGGACAGTGTGTTACCCCTCACTTTCCAATATTTGTTGCCTGATGGAAAATACCACTATGAGAAATCATGCCAGGTAAGGTGAAATATGCTGATTTTTCTCAGAAAGCTGCGATGACAAAATGGCAAAACACAAGGTAAATTAATTGTATGCAGGGATGGGAAGAACACAGCTTCTGAGGGAGAGATAAACACAATCAAGTTATTGGCCAAGGGTCTTCGGAATCATTAGCCTTGCAGGGAACAGAATGCTGTTTGCAGTGTGCCTGGGACAGCATGGTGAGCAGAGAGGGTTAAGAAGTTGGTCTACTTGAGTCTGTGAGTTAACTAAACTAGCTGGGTGACCATGCCAGGTGGTAACTATAATTAATTAGCTCCCTACTATGTGCCAGAGAACTGGGCCTTTATATCATTTTATCACTGAATTCTCTGATGATAAGACTGTGTAGGCATTGTTATCCACATTGAGAAATGAGAACATGATGTCTGAGTAGGGATATGTCTTGCTGGTCTAGAGTCATACGACTATTCCATGGTTTAGAGCTGCCATTCGAACCTGTGTCAGTCTGACTCTTATTCTAAGCTATTTTCCACTGGGGTGTAATGGAAGTAGCTGTTTTTATAATAGACCAGAAGTCCAACAAAGCATATTGACTCTTCTCAATATGCTTTGTTGGACTTGGTGGAGAAGTAGCTGACCTAAGGAGGTGGAGGTAGAACTCTTTTCGTTTTTTGTTTGTTTGTTTGTTTCTTTGTTTGTTTTTTGAGACAGAGTCTTGCTCTGTCACCCAGGCTGGAGTGCAGTGGCACAATCTCAGCTCACCGTAACTTCTGCTTCCTGGGTTCAAGTGATTGTCCTGCCTCAGGCTCCTGAGTAGCTGGGACTACAGGCACGAGCCACCATGCCTGGCTAAGTTTTTTTACTTTTTTAGTAGATACAGGGTCTCACCATGTTGGCCAGGCTGGTCTCAAAATCCTGACCTCAGGTGATCCGCCCGCCTCGGGCTCCCAAAGTGCTGGGATGACAGGCATGAGGTACTGTGCCCAGCTCTTTTTCTTTTCTTTTTTTGAGATGGAATCTTGCTCTGTTGCCCAGGCTGGATCTGTTGCAATGACAGGATCTTGGATCACTGCAACCTCCCCACCTCCCTGGTTCAAGCATTTCTCCTGTCTCAGCCTCCCAAGCAGCTGGGACTACAGGCACTCCCACCACACTGGCTAATTTTTGTATTATTAGTAGAGACAGGGTTTCACCATATTGGTCAAGCTGATCTTGAATTCCTGACCTCAGGTGATCTGCCCACCTCAGCCTCCCAAAGTGTTGGAATTTCAGGCATGAGCCACTGCACCTGACAGGTAAAACTCTTTAATGAGCTTGAGCTGTGGAAAATTAGGAGTTACTACAAGAATGTAAGCAGGAAACCGGTGTGTTAGTCCATTTTCATGCTGCTGATAAAGACATACCCAAAACTGGGCAGTTTACAAAAGAACAAGGTTGATTGGACTCACAGTTCCACGTGGCTGGAGAGGCCTCACAATCATGGCGGAAGGCAGGGAGGAGCAAGTCACATCTTACATGGATGGCAGCAGGCAAAGAGAGAGCTTGTGTAGGGCAACTTCCATTTTTAAAACCATCTGATCTCGTGAGACTCACTCACTATCATGAGAACAGTGCAGGAAAGACCCGCCCCGTAATCAGTTGCACAACTCATGGAAATTGTTGGGTGGGAATGACCTCACGATTACAATATGAGATTATTATTAAGTCGCAATTCAAGATGAGATTTAGGTGGGGACACAGCCAAAGCATATCAGCTGGCATGGCCATTTTTTGCCCTCTCAAAAGATTATGCCGGCTTCTAAGTGGAGACTGGATTAGGGGACTGTGGACTAGAGTTGGGGACAACCACTGGGAGGCTCTTGAAGGTGGATGGTAACCTGCACTGGGGTAGGTAGAAGATGGAGAGGAGAAAATAGAGTGGAAGGACAATTGAGAGACTGCAAAAAGTTAGGAGGAGGAGGAGGGACCGTGACATCAATGGCTCTCACATTTTAAGCTGCTCGAGCGTGCATCAGCATCACTTGGAGGTTTATTACAAATCCAGATTCCTGGGCCTTACCCAGGAGCACCTGATTCACTAAGCCTCGGATGGGGTCTGAGGAGTTGAACTGCTAACAGGTACCAAGGTGATGTTGATGCTACAGGTCTAGGACCACACTTTGAAAACTACTGCAGTCAAGATACCTTTCTGGGAAACTAACACTCTGTGACTTGTTCTCCAGATACCTTTTTGTAAGGTGAAGGCTCTGAAGAGCAGTTTGACCAGGGTTCCAAAGACTCAAACACCCTGAGCTGTTGGGGGGAGGAAGTTCATTCTCTTCCCTCATTGGGAAAGAGAGCTTTACATCAGTGTGTAACCTGGCTGTTGCCTTGAGAGAGACAGATTTTTGGGTTTTGCATTTGATAAAAAGTGTTCACATGTCAAAGTCCATTTATAGAAATGCAAACAGTTTGGAGCATGACAGACCTACTAATTTGAGGCATTAACTTTTTTTTTCCTTCCCTGTGAAAAACAAAGCCATTATGATCTCTGTGACGGCATTCAGAGGCAGTCTGCATTTCTGTCCTTATGTCATCCTTTTGTTGTCTGATGCATTTAGAACATATTTCAGGATAGGTTAAAGGCAGGAGCTGTTTTCTACCCAAAGTAGGCTAACTTCATCTGTCCTGCTAAATGCACCTTTATCCTGCTTTGGGGAGAGGAAAGGGGTCCTAGTGAGAACCAAGTTCCTTTGGGGTCGTAGGTCTGCCTCTAGTGTTCTCTATTCAGCCTCTAGACCCAGACTCTAGATGAGGAATGGTAGCGAGGTAGGGAAGTTTGTATGCCCTCACCTTCCACATTCTGCTACTTTCTTAAAAGGGAGAGACAGGCCAGGCACTGTGGCTCACACCTGTAGTCCCAGCCCTTTGGGAGGCTGAGGCAGGTAGATCACCTGTGGTCAGAGGTTCAAGATGAGCCTGGCCAACATGGTGAAAACCTGTCTCTACTAAAAATGCAAAAATTAACCAGGCATGGTGGTGTGTGCCTGTAGTCCCAGCTACTCATGAGGCTGAGGCAGGAGAATCACTTGAACCTAGGTGGTAGAGGTTGAGCCGAGATCATGTCATGTTTGCTGAAATGAAACTATTTTAGTGGTGGTTTGAGCTGGGGCCACAGCTGGGTGGTAACAGCCTTGCAGGTGGATAGTCTTGGGTCTGGTTTCCTGCTCTGCCACTTATTGGCAGTGTCAGAGTAATTTGGCAGCCAAATTATTTAACATCTCTGGGCCTTAGTTCCTTCGTATGTCACTTGGAAAGAATGATACTGCCTGCCGTGATGAGGCAATGTAGGTAAAATGGCTAAACCAGTGTCTAGCCCATAGTAGGTACTCGGAACATGCTAGTTCGTTCTTTCTTCTATGAAAATTGACTTAGACCAATGAGAAATGCTCATGCAGAAGGCACAAGGCAATAGACAATGTGCAACAGGGTTACAGTTCCATTGGAGTGCATGCAGCCTATAGACCGTCCCGGGGAAACACCTACCACCTAAAGGCAGCTTTAAAACATTACTTCATGAAACTCAGGCTTTTGCAATTTCCTGAGTTGGGTTATTGGTTTGTTCATGAGCTGCTGGGTGCAAAGCAGGTGGAAGACAGGAGGGTAATGTGAGGTGAAGTTTTTTAATAAAAATCAAATCCCGCTCACTCCTGAGTTTGGTCCCCTTTGAAAAGCGCACAGCAAACCCTGGAGTTTTGATGAGCTTCCTTGTGAGCCCATAGGGCATGAAATGAATGAGCGGAGAGAGTTCTCTCGTTTGCATAAAATGCTCTTGCATCAAGATTGCAGTAAAGATTTGGCTAGTTTGGCCGTTTGTCCCTCTGAGGGTAACCCAGCCAGATCCTGTTCATTCCAAAGCCATCTTGCATGACAGCCACATCACACACAGCAGGCACTCAACATACATTTTGTTAATAAATTACTAAATGAAACTGGTCATAGCATTCAAAGGGAATTCTGTCTTTTCTGAAAAGGCACTGGGAAATGAGAACCAGACCCAGTATTCTGGACCCAGTGCTGCTTTATCCATTTGATGGTCTTTGAGCTTGGTATATAACAGGTGCCAAAGTTGCCTCTCCTGAAAAATGGGAAGCTTGAGACTATTAATCTTTTTTGCCCACTTGGCCTCTATAAGTAAATATCCCAGGCTTTGCTCTGATTAGCTTGCCTTGTCCCATGGCCACCTCTGAACAAATTTGTAGGAGGAGGGCAAAGAAATGAAGAATGACTGGAGAATGGGGAAGTGGAGGGACATGACATCCAAACCACATGGATTAAGAATAGGAAAGATGGGGAGGCCGAGGTGGGTGGATCACGAGGTCAAGAGATCGAGACCATCCTGGTCAACATGGTGAAACCCCGTCTCTACTAAAAATACAAAATATTAGCTGGGCATGGTGGCGCATGCCTGTAGTCCTGGCTACTCGGGAAGCTGAGGCAGGAGAATTGCCTGAACCCGGGAGGCGGAGGTTGCAGTGAGCCGAGGTCGAGCCATTGCCCCCCCCCGGGGGAAAAAAGGAAAAACTCTTTCCAAAAAAAAAAAAAAAAAAAAAAAAAGAATAGGAAAGAAACTTTGGGAGGATCACCTGAGGTCAGGAGTTCCAGACCAGCCTGGCCAACATGGTGAAACCCTGTCTCTACAAAAATTCAAAAATTAGCTGGGTATGATGGTGGGTGCTTGCAATCCCAGCTACTTGGGAGGCTGAGGCAGGAG